CAGCTGCATCAAATATTCTTCTAATGGTCCTTGATAGTTAGTGGAATAGGATCTCACCAAATATATTTCTATCAAATTGCGGATTTATGAACAGTGGTTTCTTTCAAACAGTTGCTCCTTCAAGTTTTTCCTCAGATTTATTCATGTGCTTTTTTAATAAAATAATGGGGATAATCTATTTCAACCCAATGATTTGAAAATCCACTCCTACTTGACCTGTAGAGTGTCGTCTAAGCAGATTTTCCTATCTGACTGTCAAACATTTCACCTAACTTCTGCTGAAGTATATGACTGTGGGACTGAGGAAGTGTATGCTTTGATGTACAGATTTGTTTCTTCGGTACTTCCTCCTGCAAAGTGATCCACCTTCTCATCTATCTGACAGAACAAGAAAATCTAACTCATTGTCCTGTTCTTCGCAAGTGAAGGGTGTATGTCATCAAAATTTCTAAATAGTTTTTTAAAATCCATATTCTGATCAGTGACAATAAACGTGACATTTGCGTATCCGTAATACACATTTAACCTGTTGATATCATCCTGCAATAGCCTGTACTCTAGTTTGACGAGGAGTTTACAAAAATTCGGCCTAATGACAATCTTATTGTGCACCAGTTCACTTGCCTATAGCATGCACTATTGAAAACAAAGTGTACATTCAATGTAGATCCAGGAAGTAATTCTTTAAGGTTAGACACGTGAATTCCAATGCTAGTTTGTTTCTGTATCGCTACTTTATATATGAAATCAGCTGTTTAAGTGGGCGGTACATCGATGAGTAGTGACGATGCACCAGGCAATATCACACATTTTCTACTTACACACATCTGTTCCTTTAAAGATTTAATCGAAGATATCCTTGACCTTATGTTTTACAAGTAGTTTGTGAGGGGGTCCTAAGACCTGATGAGTTATGCATATCTAAGACTGGTAAAATGATAATTTCAGGTTTGTCGGTTTAAGCCAAACCATAAAACTGTGGTATGCTATAGCCTGTGAATTTCAGAGAGTCATACAATACTGCTGAGATTAAATCTGTTTGTTTCAGGTTTTTAACTGTTGTTCAGCTACTTTTCCGCTCTCACACTCAAATCTTTAGAACCAATGAACTTCTGAAACCTAGTTTGATCGCTCAGAAGGGAGTTCATTTGTCTATGTAATCTTTCTCTTCCAGAAAAACAATACCTCCTGCTTTAACCGGCTTACTCATAACTAGTTTATAATTCTTTATTAGCTTTTAAAAAGCTTCTCAATGTTCTTTCATAAATTTACTGTTTGGAGAACTCTTACCATTTTGAACTGCAGCTGTCAACTAACGTGGTTTTGAACCTGGTCAGTTCATCATAACCAGATCTACAGTGGCCTAGTTAATAATGCTTTAGTGTCTGAAGCGAAGAGTACTGGGTTCAAGTTTCAGCTGGAACAGCATTCCTTATTAAGGTATCGATACATCTAGCTAGTGAGTTTAAAATAGGATTAAGCATGCGTCCACTACCAGTCATCTAACAGACTTGTAAAAAACTGTCGTGTCATTCGAAACATTCTTATTATTTTTTATAATACCACTAATTTTCCTACTCTGAAGGGCATAATCCGTGTCCTTACTATCGTTTACTTATAAATTACTTGGAATGGTTGATTATTATATATTTGCGTTGATTATTATGTAAAGTAGAATGTAGTTTGATAAGATGTAATTGAAACCACTCTTGTTCGCCTACGTAACTTGCTATAATTATAGGTAAAAGACTTTGTAAATAGAGAAGCGTTCTGAAGAATCTTCAGAGAACAGTCAGGTAACACGTTAAGCAGCTAACAGATGCCAATACAAACATTTTAATTAAAGTGAGTGGAGGTGAACGTTTTCAGTATAATAGACCATATGTAAAAGCAGAGACAGGATATTTCAGAAATGGATGGATGCATTAGTACTAGAGTTGAATAATCACAAAAAAGATCATCAGAAAGTGTTACTTGGTCATTTGACAAAGTTCTGTTGAAATTTTGTCGAAATGAATTTATACATCTCAAGAAAAAATCCTTCAAAATAAAGCTGTTAAACTCATGGGATACAAAACCATTAAGCATCTTCCTACATTTTACTGAAATTTATCAATATCTTAAGTTCGAAACACTGCATAAGCACTTAATAAGAGTAAACTGATCATTTTTGCCTCACTAAGAACAGCTCGTTAACCTTTTAGCAGCCCAAAGATAAATGAGAACATTGAAAATGTACGTATTAAGTCAGGGATATCCAAGTTATTCATCTAGGAAATAAACAGCTCAGAAACGGGTTTCTTAATAAATTACACTGACTACTAAGCAGAATATGAGCAGGCGAGGTGTCAAGGTTACCTGATTAAAATCCTTAATCCATATTTTATGCATCGTTTACAAAAAAAGTAGCTCATAAACACAGTCTAACATAGTTTTTGTTGGTACATTGTAAGAAAACGCGTCCAATATCTTAATTTTTCATCAGTTTTAATGTTTTTTAATATAAAAATAAGCTCTTCATTATACCGAAAATATACTGACTCTAAGTATTTCATTGTTGTGTTGAACGTATGAAATAAATGGTGACTGACATTGTCAGATCACTATTTAGTGCAAGCAAACTACCTTCAAAATCAAGTTGAAAACCTTCAAAAAAGTTGGTGATAGACCACAGTTCAAACACAACACTCAAAACAGAAACTGAAGGACAAAACTATAAACGACATCTTCACGCCGGTTATCAGGTAAAAATGCGAGATATTGAGCAACAACCCGAAGAAACCTGATCGGATGAACACTGGAACTCTTTGAAACCTACGTAGAAAGAAACCTGCATAACCGTAATACGAAGGAAGAAGAATCACCACAAGGAATGGATTTCGACGGACATATGGAACCTGATAGACGAGGGAGAGGAGGATGGTGGAGCAGACGATACATCAGTGCGAGGATGAACAACGAAAAGAAGAAGTGAATACAACTCATAAAACACTACACTGGACAAAGAAGTGAAGAAGAATGCACTGTAAGACAAAAGACACTTCTGCAACACATTGACAAGTGAAGCAGAACAGGCTGCTGGTAGGAGAGACAGAGACCTGACCACATTGTTGTATCAAATAACCAGGTTGCTATCTGGGAGGGGAGAGATCAACACAGATGGAACCAATGAAAGATAATGAAGGAAATTTAATTAGCATAGATGAGGAACAAAGGAAGCGATGGGCTGACTACTTTGAAAGCTGTTGAATCGACCACCACCTGCATGCACTTCGTCCAGAAATACCACCAGCAGCTGAGCCACAGGACTGCCGGTGAACACAAACCCACCGACACAAGCAGAAGTGAAGTCCTGAACGCCATGAAGTTGCTGAAACACGGAAAAGCATTAGAACCAATTGGAATTCCTCCGGAAGCGAGGAAAACAGACATAGACAACAGCGGACATGCTCACACCCCTACCGCAGAAGGTTTGGAAGGAAGGAAGGGAAGATACCTGTGAATTGGTTGGAAGAAGGGTAACCTTGTCAAAGTTGCAAGGAAGAGAGACCTAAGTCTTTACAAGAACTGGAGCAGAATCTTGCTGCTGTCCACCTCAAATGGGCAAACTATTAAGCCGCGTCATCCTGGAGACACCAGAAGGAGACTGCGTTGGGTTCAAAATTATGACCAGAGCAGGCTACTGGCTTCAGGGAGAACAAATCATGTGCGTACCAAATTGCAACGCGACACTACGCCGCGCATCATCATAGAACAGGGCGTAGAATAGCAGTCAACTCTCTGCCTCAAAATTATCGACTTTGAAAAGGCCTTCGACAGCGTCGAGAGAGATGTAATTTGGAAACTGCTTCATCACTAAGTTTTTAGTGCTACAAACCTTTATCAACCTCATTCAACAGCTATATGATGCTACATGTCATCTGATTCACAATACAAAGCTCAGTGACGCCTTTGAGGTGAAGACAGCAATTAGATCAGGCTGCTTATTTTCACCCGTCATCTTCCGGATTATGTTCCGCTGGATTATGCAACAAATAATCAGTAGCGAGAAGGTGGGCATACGCTGCCTGGACCGATGAAAAGACCCGAGAACATTTGGATTTCCCCGATGATGATTTATGTATAATGTCTTCTCGCACAAACTGGAAGATCTACAGGCAAAAGCCAACAGGTTGACAGAAGAGGTAGCGAAGATGGGACATCCTTCGTGTGAACATTGAGAAGATAGAGGTGATGAAGACGCCTAACCAACAACAAAAAGCATCAGTCACCATGAACGGGAGAAATCTAAACGAAGTTGTCTATTTCCCCTACCTAGGCAGCATCGTTTCAACTAAAGGTGGCGGCACTGATGAGGATTTTAATGCCAGTATCACACATCACACGTCGGGCCAGGCCGTCGAGTGGAATCCAAAGAGGAAACGACGAGTTGGGCATCCTAGCTGCGATTGACATGGAAGAGATCATGTGAGGATGAAATGGGAGCTTGTGGGCAGTGTTGGAGCGAGGTTGTAAAGACTGTAGCGAAGAGAGTGCAATGGAGGCATGCTACTGACGCCCTTTGTTCTACCATGAAGCCAAAGGACAAATAATAATAATATAATTTCCCGAAAACATTTACACGTATGACTCGTACTACTTTCTCTTGTTGTCAGTGTTAAACGAATTCATCTGTATATGTCCGAAAATACTAACTGATAGTCGGTGATTATAACGCCTAAATTAGACAACAATGATGTGCTTTCTAATACACTTAGAAACGTTTTAAACAATGGAATGAAGACTGACAACAGAAAATAAGCAAAAATGTCCAAACGACTAGAATTCGTCTCTAAAATCATTCCAACAATGACGATCATTTCATGTAGATGGATAGAAAAATGATTACGCGTTTCATCATCATTGGCAGGAAACAAGATTTAAACAAATGAATTAGTAAATGCTCACTGACTTTATATGCATATTCGTATACTGATTCGGATAAGTAAAACTCAACCTACCTTGTTAGTTACATCCCCAGATTGTGCAATTATTGGGTTAGACAATTTAGATCTAGATAATAATGAACTTGTTACATTGTCATATGTTGTAGGCGATAAAAGTGTACCGTAATTATTTTGAGTTATGGATGAGACATTGTTCAAAAGCATTTCATGAGATGATAAAGACTGTGCTACGTTAGCTGAATGATACGTAGTTGTTGGCACTGTTATCGCCGAAGTAGCTAAATTCTGTTCCATTGAATATTGCTGTTGAGCATCTGTGTGTATCAGTATTTTACTCAGTGGACAAATATTTAATTCTTGATTAGGCTGTTGAATAATATCTTGTGTAGTAGTCCATACAACGTATGCAGTATTTGAACTAGAAGAAGGAGAAACTTGAAAACCTTTTGAACGTTTACACAATGAATTGTCAGTTACAGAATCATTTGTTTGGGTATTGTTCATATTAGGTCTGCTGCTATTATTATGAGATGTATATGTGTGATCTGAATTCGGTATATTTGGTTGTTTCATGTCGTCATTTTTTTTTATCATGTCGGTATACAGCACACCTTCAAATGATACAGATTTTAAGGGACTCAACTGTATAGATCCATTTTCAATACACATTTCTGCAGAATTCAACATTGGTGAATGGGATTTGTCGTCAGTTGACTCAATAATTCTTTCACATTTTGACTGATTCTAAACAAAAGTAGAATGCAAATGTTGATTAAAATAGACATAGGATAGGTGATAATTTAAAGGATTTTCATGAAACAAATTTCAAGACATCTATTCAAGCAAACCAAGTATCGAGTATCTGTCTATGTATATCAGAAGTGTTCAATATAATCAAAATGCTATCAGGTATGAACAAAAAAACAATACTGAAACGGGGGGAAATGGCCATTACTGTTCTTTCATGTGGTATGACATAGCACATACAACACAATAATAGATAAAATATTGGCTTAAAAGTGAATGTTGATCATGTATTTGCCTAAACACATCAACCATTTCAAGTGGGACTGAAAAACATGAGGCCTTAAGCAGAGTATAAAGGGCATCATGCTACATAAATATCAGAACAGTACAACAGTACTGATTTTTAAGAAGCTTCGCACAACCTCTTGTCTGTTATAATGGTAAAGACCATGACTTTGGCAGCTCCTACTGAATTAATGGATGCAAGCAAACACAGTCCTGTAGGCATCAAAGAAAATGACTGAATTATTGACGCTGTACTCCCTATGAAGTTAGTATTGGTGATGTACTTTATAAGCAGAATAAAAGCTTCACGATAAAAACATAGAGCTCAGAGAAGACAATACCATCAAGATCATCAACATGAAGTATAAATGTCCTCACCTTAGCCAAAATCGTGACATGAGAAGTAAACGCATCTCACACGTTGAGTCGTACGGTCTTTTCAATCATCATGAGGCGTCGTAAATGGGAGAGACTAGACACTCAGTTATTTAGTTTGACCAAAGAAAGAAGAATGAAACTCATGGTGATGGGTGAGATCATGATGCTTGAAGACTGGTTTGTGATTCACCTGAAGTAGAGGAGATTGAAATGATGGTTGAAATACTCTGAGAAAAAGGTTGAGCTGACTTTCAAAAACTCTTAATTTTCACACTATTCGGTCACGATTTGAATGGAATATTAGGATAGGCTCTCAAATTCATTGAGGGGTGAAAATAGCTTGAAGTAACCAGAAAATAGAAACGGCAGCAGACCTTCTCATCATCAACTTTTAAAGATGGTGGCTGAGGATTATTTCTTGAATTCATCGTAACCAGGACATAAGAATAGGATGAGATACCCAGCGGTAAATGTTAATGTCTGAGCTGCCTAGCTTTCAAGTAAAGACAGAAATCCTCTTGTAACAGCCATAGTGGTATCATTCTCATGAACATGAAATCTGGAATCCAGGATTTTATTTTTACCTGCTACCCAAGTAACGCTTAAAAGGCGAATCTGAGAAAACCAGACAGGTTTCAAAGCTGATCATATGTGTTTTAACTATATATTGTCCTTCCAACTACTTTAGGAACAAAAACACGTGTAACAGCCCCAACCGCCATATATCTTCCTAAGGCTGAAGGTGGCCATTGCTTCATTGGTCGAGAGGTATCATGGCAGGGTTTCTCAATGAAAACAATGCCGGTTAGGTAAATCAGTGAACTGAAGGCTGTGCATTTAAACACCTAAAGCCGTGTTGAAGCCTGTGGCCAAATATCAGATAAGTTGCATGCGTCAAGTGACGTCCATCAAGGATATCCGTTTTCCCCCTTTCTACTTTGCCACAGACTTACTAACGAAGGCGTGTCTCTCCTTGTCATACTTAACGGGCCGAAAATTTTCACAGGAGACTGCTTGGTAGCCATACAGTACGCAGTCGAAGCATCCTAAAAGTTGAAAACTTAACGAAATTCCGAATCCTACGAACCGTTTGATTGGCAGTTTAAGAATTTTAAGACTTCATTTTCCGCCATCCAAATGCGTACTCTTGTTCCAGGACTGGACTGAACATATGCTTCATCTGAAGATAAAATGGAATTGAATAAGTGCGCCAACCACTTCACTGACTGAGGAAATGAAATCAATCATTATGGTTTAGTGACTAACATGACCTTTGCATGAATACAAGAAGCTTAGTTGTGGTCTAATAACTTAGATCAACTATTCTATCGGCGAAACATCTGAGCACCTACTAAAGACCGTGTGTAGTACCCTCCAGTTCACTGTATCCCTCTTTATGGCTGTAGAAATGACCATTAAGTATCATGGGTATTTGAAGGTTTTAAGTGTTCTGTTAGTGTATGGAATAAGGTGTGTCGTTAAACCAGTACAACATTCATGATGAGGTCTAGCACGAAGTCCCAGACAAGCGGAGTAATTTTGTCAGATTGTGAACCTTGATCGTTTCAGGTGGATAGTATATGAGACAAACACGCTATCTAATATTAGCTGAAGTATATTAAGGTGGAAACAAGATCATAGGTGGCCAAGCTGAAGTGCAGGATAAGTGTTACAGTTTTTGACTGCTGATCTGAGCTGTATGTGGGAAAATATGCCACCAGGTTGAAATCCACATAACAACCATAATCGGTTGTTGGATACACTAAGTGAAGTGGTAAGTTATTTGTCGAAACTATGGCTGAAGCAAACAAATATCAGTTTAGTTTCAGCTGGTGGGGCAAAGAAATGGGTTTTCATAAGTTGGGTAGAGTCAGTCTTTTTGAAAATATCAATAAGACATAGTAATACTGAAAAGTTAAAACCAAATATGATGAATGAATTCACATGCTAAATGAACTACAGCTTAAAAGAAAAACCGCAAATGATAAGTGTGAATAATATTTAACTTCTGGAACAATCGTTTTTATAAAAATTGTTTTTGGATGAGGGATAAGTCAAAATGCTACTATGTTTTGTCACCGATTGGCTTTGATTAAATTACAGAAATATTCGAAATTAACCTACTTCTTTGGATAACTGTTGACGGTCGCTTTTACCTCTGTTCAGGATTCTTCTCCTTCTAAAATGCAAAAATCGAAAATTAAACACTTGAAGCCCAATTAAAACCAACAAAAAGATTATATTATTGCTGAATAAAAGCTGTTAGTCAAACTAGTACTCTCAGATGTACGTAGGTTGATCACCGTTGAGCAGCTGTCTAGCTCTCATCGAAATTTGTCGAGCACATCTTGCAATATGACCACGGAGTGCAGTGACATGATACCAAAGTGCACCGTAGTTTGGTGTTATATTGCAGGAGTCAGTTGGCAGGAAGCCTTGTATGCTTATTGATATTCAAAGGGTGTATCCACTGATGAGTGGCAACAAGCACGAAATGTTGGTTTCTGGGTTTGCTGTGGTTGACTCCTATCATCTAGTTCTAAAACTGTTTCAGTTGTATGCAGGAAAGCTATAGGGTCTAAATGGAGTATTTTCTAACTAACTAACTTGTTTCCATTACATTTGATACCCATCGACTATTAATCTAAAACTATCAAGTTGGCTGTAACTGGTTATTTAGTTCCCAGATGATAAATTCAGTTGTTAACTTTTGTTTTGATACTTCTAATGTCAAGTTGCTGCTCAGCCTATGGTGGCAGATGTACGCGGATGCCTTGACACTGTCAGATTTTGGTACTATTTTATCCATCTTCTAAAAGGACGACTCAGGCCTGTTAAGCAGCATGAAATTACAATTATCAAAACTGCGACTGATACCCGTTGTATAGAAGGTAGCTAACGTGCTTCAGTGACCTAGAGGTCATAGCTTTGGCGTTTAAAGCGAGGGGTACTAGGTTCGAGTCCTAGCGGGAACACCACTCACTGGCATGAAGGTGGATTAGGCTGACGAGACCCAAATAGGACTAAATGTATTTCTTGATTCCTTTTGCTAGTCACCAAGGCAAATGTTACGCAAGTCATTCTGTTTTTAACAAATTCCACCTTGTTAACTTCTACTTACTTTCACTAATCCTTGTTTATTCAAACTTTCGATTTCCCTCGGCCTTACGGTATTCTTTTGTGTTATGTTTCTATTTAATTCACCTCTTTATATGCTGATTTCTCTCAACCGTCTACCCTACGACTTTCATGTCAGTGAAAAAAATTATCTCGAAAGCATGTAATGGAAGTGAGACTTCTGTCCATCTCTAAGTTGATAGCAATGTCTTCTTGAGTAACTTTTAACCTGGAGATAATTCAGTGTAAGGGATTTATATGATACCGTCGTTGATTGGACCGAATTGATCGGTCTGTATTAGCACATGGGCTCCTGTGCAGATGTCTCGATATTGCCAGCAATCTGAATATGTTAAGGATGAATCGTGGCTAGCAGTGGAATCCAGGATGCGCATTTCGTCTTATTTGGGACTCGTCAGCTGGATGTACCTGCTCCCAGTGAGTGATGTTGTTCCCACCGGGATAGGGTATAACGTGCTGGCGTTTGAAGCGATCGCTCCTGAGTCCGAATCCCGGTGGGAACAACATCACTCACTGGAGCAGGTACATCCAGCTGACGAGTCCCAAATAGGACGAAATGCGCATCCTGGATTCCACTGCTAGCCACGATTCATCCTTAACATATTCAGATTGCTGGCAATATCGAGACATCTGCACAGGAGCCCATGTGCTAATACAGACCGATCAATTCGGTCCAATCAACGACGGTATCATATAAAAACTCTTATACTAAAAACTCTACCCGTAGCATAAGAAATGGCTATCGTAGCTCGGTGGTGTAGTGCTAGCCACGATCCATCCTCAACATGAAAATGATTCACTTATTGATTTTCCGTTTTACTTACAGGTTTTTCTCATATCCTCATGGCTTGTGCACGTCGTATGTCATCCCATTAAAAAAGTTTTCTAGGACACATTCTTACCATCTTCAACCAGTTTCCAGGCTGAGACGTTAAGATTTTTTGTTTTGTGATGCAATTATATAACAGAGGATGAGAAAACACTTATGTGTCTCACATATCTTCACGATCTCTGTATGGTTTTCAGTTTTTACTTTCGTAATGAAACAGAAGAAAATTGAATAGCATTTTCCAGTGATTATCAGGTATGTTGCAGGCGCACGCTACTTTGTAGAGCAACACAAAGAATTTTTCTACATATTATATTCACAAACAATTAAACTACAAGAATTTTTACTCAGAAATATCTTTTGCTCTACATTTTTAAATACTGAATAATTATTCCACGCACTAAACTTCAAACAAAAAATTTGCTTAAAATTAATTGAAACTTTGAAATAATAGCCTTCGTCAAAGTTGACAGCGAATTCACAATTATATCAAAAATCATCTTTATCAAAGTTATTTTCCTAAACCCTGAACTTCCAATGCACTAGAGGGAAAAAAGTGGAAATTTTCATTTTTCTCCTCCTTAGTTCTCTTTAGATTATAGCGAAAATTCATCTTAACCTTGAAGACATTTAGATGAGCTTGACGGATTTTGAAGGAACAGTATTAAAATGTATGGAAAATGTAAATCACCAAGAGGTTTACTTAGGAAGATTAGTTGTAAGTAAAACAGTAAACAATGAAAAAGGAAAGTTTTCTGGTCCATATACAACAGATGACAGATAAAGTATTTATTCCAAAGCTAATTATTCTCAACATTGGAAAAGAATTTTTCATGCGTTACAGTTGCCAGTCTCTATCAGTAAGAAAACTATCAAGGATGCTTCCACGACTTGTGGATTTATGTTATTCCGTTCACTAAATCACCTTCATTTGCTCCTTTCAGAATATTTAGCAAACTTTTAATAAGGTGCCTCATTTTTCTACCAATACTAAACTAGTTTATATGTTTCTTTGTATTAGCTATAGTAACCCTTATATTTTGAAGATTTCTTTCTGACTTATGTATCCACAATTTTGTTTGCCTTTTAGCTAAATTATTCTTTATTTACTATAAATTCTTAGTATATTACCTATTTACCTGCTTTTCTCCAATAAATACTGCCGAATTTTATACTAACTTCTTTCAAAAAACTTTTGAACCACTTTATTGTTTCAAGTGGAAATGGGTTTCAGGTTGGAATTCATCATGGACTGGCACCAGTTGAACAAACATTGAGAACGTGAGAGACCTGGACAGCCATGTCGTCCTGTTATGGGACTCCTCAGCAGTACTCACCCATGACACTCAGGAAACGGTCCAGGACCATTAGGTTCCGCGGCCATTACGTTAACACTGAACCAGTGGATCAGGATCCAATGGACCATATTTCCTGCTTCTGTCAGTTCACGATATAGTGCGATCCCTATTCAACGAATTAATCTAGTACTCTTTGGTAACTTGCATTCAGAGGTGTTCCCCAAAGTTCCAGTGAGAAGTCGTGACTAGCGGGGTCAGTAAGTTGAACTGTGGGTTAGTTTCTCAACGACGGTATTGGATACAGGTTGCAGTCTATTGTGAACTGACAGAATTAGGAAATAAAGACCACTGGATCCCGACCTTGTGGCTCAATGGTAACGTGCTGGCAGCAGAACCATGAAGATCCTTAGTTCAACCTCTGACAAAGTCATGGATGGGCACTGCTGAGGATTTCCACACTGAGGCGAGACAGCTGTCGAGGTCTCTTAGGTTTCCAGCATCCCTTCAACTAATGCTAATCCATGACGAATATCAGCCTGAAGTCAATAAATCCCAAAAAGCCTCGAAAGTTGAAATGAACTAAAAACTGTTGACAAAATTTATATTATAACAATTGACCCACCTGAAATAAGCAGCACAGAACGTGAGAAGTAAAATAAGCATAGAGCACGTGATTGCAGTGCCTATAAATGTCATCAAATGACTTTTGACGTGCACACAGTCTGTAGAAATGAGAAGTAACAAAAACAAATCAGTTGGGCGAATGAATCAATGTGAAAGCTATGACTTTAACTAAACATATATATATATATGACAATGATTAATGAATACAACTTTTAACTGAATAGATCCAGATATTTAACTTGATCACACAAAGTCGGAAAAGATTTTACGACAGACAATGATTCTGTCTACATTATAAATAATTTATCTTGTACTTTTATAAAGGTCAGTAGAGAATTTACAAAAAACCACATACTATTTAACACCATTTTCGATAGTTTCTAAAAGATTAATGCTTACTAGACAGCTGATAACATCTTTAATGAAGACGGTGCATCACCTCTAATCGAATATTTATAGACATGATATTCATGTTCTTTCGATAAAAAATCAGTATCAATTTCCTTGCACAACTGATTGTAAGTATTTCTTTGAGTTAATAGTTTTACGCATGGTTATAAAAATGCCAGGGACAATGTGAAATACTGTCAACTTTGGAATAGAAATCAAAAATAAAAGCAATGGACCTTCTGAAATTGTAGTGAATTCATTTCTTATGGGCACCTATAAAAATTAAAATATTTTCTAAGAAATATGTTGGAAATTGCAATTTCAGAACTACTGAGTAATCCAATACCGTATTCATTTCCTGTATAGTCTATTTCCATTGTAGATTGAATGAAAGTTGGGATAACTGGAGCAAAACAAAGAGATTGTAGGCCATTAGTGTAAAATTAAGCACACTATACAGCAATCCTCAAAACACAACTTTAAACCAGATTTCTCACAGACATTTTGGTACTTCTTACCCCTTAGTAATACAGATGCAATACATATTTCAAAGTACCTTTGTCATAACCTGTAGTAATCAAGTTGTTTGTTGATAATGAGAGTGAGATGGCATCCAACAATCATATTTCAATTAAATTTTGAGGGGGTTGTGGAGATTTGGAAATATTTCAAGTTGTTATTCATCGAAGACTGACATCAGTTGGAGGTTTCCTTTGTTCCTCCAACTGATGTCAGTCTTCGATGAATAACAACTTGAAATCATATTTCACTTAAAGATAACATCCTTCACAATTTAAATTAAATGTCGGCTGAAGAAGTTTAGTATTTTTTGAAATACTCTGAAGTCAATTTGTAATAATTCTACTAGGAATAATTTTTTTCTCTGCGATGTTTGCTTCTGTTTGCACTGTTTATAAAAAATTACTTTCCAACTGTGTTCATTGATTAGACAATAGAGAAATGGATATACTTCTTGGGTCTGTATCATCTCAAATATTTTATTTTACTAGTCTGTCTTCAATAGTATTTTAAAAGGGATTTCAGGTACATCGAAAATAGTTATCAACGTTATGCAGTGACGCATGATGCTGGAAATGTTTATAGTGTAACAGCTTGTAATTTCTGGTTATTAACTGAACCGAACCGTTCAACCACTATGAACAAAACGGCCCCTGAACGGATGCTTTTGTGTTGGTAGCAAGTTAAGTTCAAAAGTGATGAATCCGAAATGCTTATCTCATCCTGCTTATTATTCATCAACTGAATACACATACATTTCAGTGACTGATATTTTCTCCAGTGAGAAACGACTCCAAAACCCATTACACTGGACTCTAGTTCCTTATTCACTAGGTTACTGAGTAGCAACAGACACTCGATGTAAAGTAGGGAATAACAAGTCAAAACATCAAAGTTTGTCCATTGCATAAGAAGTGGCCATTATAAGTCAGCCCAACGGAAAGCATCCGATCATTCTAAATAATTGATTAGAGATTCGAGTAACAGTAAAAACAAGATCATTCAATTTACGGTAGGTGTAATTAGCTGGGAAGTACTAAACAAAAGAAAACATTCACCTGAGATTTGGCTTCTAGCTACTGTTCATCAAAAAATTTAATTTTTGTGATATTTTCATTTCACATAAAGCTTTTTCAATATTCACTGGGATAGTAGTTTGAAGTTTCGAACGATGAAAAGAGTAACTATTCACCAGAAAGTTTCTCTAAGTGTTGAGCCACTGAGCTTGAAAAAAATTACTCTGGATCAAATTTTTGGATAGAAACATCTAGATCAATCCACAATATTTTTTATCCTCTCAAATACTTTTCCATTTATAGCCAAGAAGTAAGTGCAAACATCTAAACGTTTTATTTCCACAGAATTCTATAGACTAATGGAAGATCCAACTAAAAACTTACTCAATACCAAGTATATTCAACAAAAATACTTTAGACTTTGATTGCAATGTAAATATACTTAGTATTTAACTGAATTCAGTATAAAATGAACTAGTTAAGTCTCAACTAGGTCTGGCAAACTAATCACAGTGATTCACAAATGGTGTATTGAATATCTGCTATATAAAAGCCTCTTATCTAGTCCAAGTGGAATTTTCAAAAGTTAAAAGGCGTGATAAGAATAAAACTAAACCAAGCAACTAGACTTCATTCATTTAAGATGACGTACTTACCCGTTGTAAACTGAAATTCAGGTAAACTGCATAAATCAAATTTTTCCCGTTTCATTTCAGATATCGGCTGTACATTTTGATGGGGATTATTGTTCTCATTGGTGATAAATACTGAAGTCATCGCGTCAGCAGATGGTGATAATGATGACTTAGAATCTGACTGTAAATGATTTAAATGCTGTTTAATTGGTTGTGTATTCATAAAAAGCTTATTAGATCCTGTTGTATTTGATATGAGATGTTCACAATGTTCACCGGTATGAGTTTTTGGGCACCTTAAATGCAAAAAAAATATTTTTCAGTTACCAACCAATTATGTGCCTTAATGCAGTAAAGTACCGCAAACATGCTAAGTCGTAACAACTTGTATCACTTTAATATTGAAATCCATTTTTCTTTCCAACACTGACTGTTTATGAACACCATATGCGGAACGACAGTAAAAGGGTTGACATCTGGCTACATTCGAACTATAACACTGTAATTCATTCCGCTATGTGATATTAAGTAATCCCAGAGATGATCACAGCGTAAACAGATTAAAGTCAAGTGACTTCACTGGAAAGATCATTCGACAGTAAATGGATGGCACAATCGTACAAAAGTTTAAAAACCACTAAAAGACGAATTTGGTAAGATTAGTATCAGCTGGATTCCAAAGACCTTCATGTCACATCTAGTCACCTTTCAACTTTCACATTTAAATTGAATGTAAATCCCCCAACGAAGGTTGTACTGGACAAAGTTTTCGGTTGTTTGTAGAGTTGCTGAAAACTTTGAAGAAGTAACAGCTGACTCGTCCCTGCCTTGGACCTTTAAGGGAATCCCATCTACGATTCCATGAAGCATCTACCATAAGACTATCAGATCTCTCCGCTGACTGGGTTGAAATCAAGTGATTCTCCTTCTTTTTTACTTCTGCCAGTTCGTCTTATCAACCAAGTCCGATGTGACGAAAATAAACCTTGATTGCACAAGAAGATGTTCACGCTATGTCACAAAATTTACACAAATACGGAACTTCCAACCAACCCAGTTTATTAATTTCATCGTGCTCGCTGAGAAACTTCCTCGGCTCAGTCCCTCACAATGATGTTGATGCACAGTGCCAAGGTTTACCAAACAAAGATAAAACAGCTTGCCACTAATTCCAGTCTTTCAGATATTTTCCAATTGTTGTTTGTCAACTATGAAAACTAATTTGGAACCAAATCTCCCCTCCTTCAAACCACTTAACAGCTTACACTTTGCATAATTTGACATTATTCAATCAAACAGATCGAACTGGTTTTGAATGTTAGCTCATTTGATTTCGATTACCGTTAAGATTTTGAAAGCAAATTATATAATATATATGGTTTTATCCTAGTATTCATTTACGCATAAATGCCACGTCTATGCGTCCATAAGTTACAAGCAGAAGAAGTTACACAATTTATCAGGGAGAGGGGATTTTTTCAGCAAAATGAAGATTACTACCCTTATGATTCCACCTTTGACCTTATGGCTAAGTGGTCTGGGTTTAAATGCTAGTGTAATTGTTATTTCCACTGGCCATTTAAGCCTACCTTCTTTTTGACAATTGTCATAACCTACTCATTCTCAAATACGTTGTATTCTTTATCACAAATAATCGAATGACAAACGTCTAATGTTTTGTTTTGGTGATATGTAAGATAAATATAGATGCATGAACGCTGTGCTGCACCCATAGTTAAAATCACTGAGGCTATATTACCTATTTGTTTTGCTGATAACAACATTGGAGATAAATTTTAACAGTATATTACAGTAATTTATCAAATGGATAGTAATTTCTTTCGAAGTTATTAAATTAATGTTACTAGTCTATGTGCACTAAACTACTGCAGTCAATTCAACTGTTGACTAGTGAAACCATAATACTCTCAAACGCTCATTTTGCGACTATCTAGAAAAAATGAATACGGAAATAGTTAGAACTATGGAAGTATTGTGGTTGTCGGTTTGAAAACGAGCTAAAATAGTAAAGGGCTTCTGTGGTTTGCTTTAGTTGATGGTAAATTACTAGGTGAATGATTAGACCATCTGCAGTTTCTCAGACAAAAAGCTGTGAAACAGATATTGAACACACTTAAGTGCGTGACCACACCAGCTTTATGAATTTCAAATAGCTGAAGTGGAAAATAGCCTAAGTAAATCATGAAAGTGAACTAGTTGATTTATACACTGTTCATAGATTTCTATTGCTTGATAATTTATTGTTATAGTTTTACCATAGCTAGAAAAACACGTTGAGCAGAATATAATGAACTCATTGTGTTTCGTCGCCTTCCTTTGTTAATGGTTGAAACTTTTACAGTGTGAAAAATTCTTGTCTAAGTAGTCATTTTTGCCACAAAAAAATATTAGGATTATAGTGTGGCATGTGGCATGCCATTTGACACTCTTGATTCTGTTTATTTCCTGTTATTTTTGTAGTCTTAAGTGGTTTCATTTCCCTACAAAAGAATTTTTCTGTAAGAATTACTGTACTAACTCATCACATTTTTATCTGTCAGTCACTTTTAGTCAGGCGTAATAAGTAAGATAGTTCATCAATTTTTTTTTTATTCTGGTCTTATTTGATTCCAACTTAACATTCTAATTACTGTCTGTATTTCTACTAAGCAAAGCTTGATAACAGATATAAGAAATACAATAAGTTTAAAATAGTGAAAATTATGGCTAAAGAAGAACATTTTTCATCCCATTGTTATTCAAGAATTCCTACATTCTTCTTGTAGGCCTCTACTTGCAACGTGAATGTCCTAGTCTAAGATTGGAACAAAGGTGGAAGTTAATTGTTGAGACACTATACAAGACCTTTTATTCAAATTGAAAGCTTCATGTACATTCTATAGGTCACTTGTTTAAACAGTAAAGGATTGCAGGTAATTGTACCAATTTTCTAGATTGCAGGAACGCATGTTTGCATAATCACTTTGATTAACTCTGAACATCTGAGTACCTTTCATTAAACTAAAAGATATTGTTACTATTTTATTGACATCCAGCTGACGAGTTCCAAATAGGACGAAACGCACTCCCTGGATTTTCTGCTAGCCACAACCGACCAATTTATCATAAAAGACATTGGTTATAATAGAATTATCTTAAGAATCCAACTCTTATTTACTGCATGGTGTTACGAAGCCTTTGTGAAAATCTTGCTTGATTATTTCTTCAGGAGAAACAATGATTAGTCAGAGAACCTAAAAACCAAAAATATATTTATCCACCTCCACTGTTGTAAGACATCTTTGAAGGGATACAACTGTTGTATCAATGATAGGATGAAAGAACAATATTGTATAAGTCGTCATCTTTAGCATTTGAGACGATTACTCAAAGCATCACTGAATTATGGGTTCGAATTCCATGCAACTCACATATAAAAAGGTAATTCGAACAAACTTTTGTCACAGTTGAGAAAAATCCTACCTTCAGAAAGATGTTTACTTTCATAAATATATCTTGCTGAAGAATTGTTCTTCCTTGAATTAGACAAATCAGAAAGTGAATTTGACCGCTTTGATTCGTAAAGGTATAGTACGACACTGTGTTAAAATTGTGAACTATATTATTTGGTCACTAAAGGGTAACCAGTCAGACCATGTAGTCTAGTCCTCACCAAATTCCATAAATCATCTAGTTGCTTGCCTACCAAACTAAGAGGCTCACCATCAAGTAGCAGTTTGATGGGTGTTAACTAGTTGCAGATAGTCGGTGGGAAGCATTGAACTGAACTTTCGTACTTGCTTACTATTAAAGCCTTTCGGCAGAATAGCCCAATGACAACGTCTCAGCATTAGATGATGCGAGTTCGAATATTATAAGTGGCATTAGTAACCCGGAGCTTGCAGATTCCGGCAGCGAACAAGTTCCAACAAGTACGAAATTTGTGTCCACAGTTTCCTACTGATTCTCATAAACAACCAACAAAAATTGTGAGCCGCTATTCTTACTTATACATACCATATCTTACCAAATTAGGTGAAATGCTTGGTTTTATTTCTCAAAAATCTTTGCCTTTGAATTTAACTGTTTTCATATTTCATCATATGACATTTATACGATTTTAAGCTAAATCTCTCTTACATGTGATCTGACCAATATATCTATTGGTATAGGTAGGCAAGATTCACTGAAGTTTACTTTACGAGACAATGCTCTGAATAAAAGTCAACCATTCACAAAATAGAAAAAGAAATGTATACATTTTTACTATGCATTTTTTATCACTGTCTGAAAAAAAAGTTTTATCATCACTTTTGTTACTTTGTCTGCAAGTATATAATGTAAAATGTGATATATGGATTTATTTAGACCATGTAAACTCGTAAGATTTCAAATAATTATCTTTTCCCAGTCGAATCTAAATTTTATCTTTCTTGAACTAAGACATTGACAACTTTCCCCATCAGTTGGTCAATATGAACTGACAATAACGACAAGAATGAATCTCTGTTGCAAATGCAGATGAAAGTTGATGTACATGAGATTTCTAGACTACTCAAATTTGTTTTTATATCATATGGTTCGAATGTAACAAGTTTATAACAACACTTGAGTGGATATGGTATGAACAAAAAACTTCGGAGTCAAACTCAGAGCACTAGTGTGTAAAAGCATTTGACTTCATCACGTTACAACATACCTCTTAGAAAATACTCAAGAGGATCATCAAGCTGAATATCATGATTGTTGCATACATAACGATTATTATCAATATTATAATACATATAGTAGCATTATTAATAGTAACTGATACCTGTCGCATATGAAGTGACTTTAGTGCCTCAGTGGTCTAGTGAGTAGCTCCTCAGTATTTGGAGCAGTAATTACTGAATATCAGCCTCAATGAATTTCTTTCCTACACTGGGTTGCAGGTTAACCCAACCTTCATGTCCCAAATAGCATGAAGAGCTTATCTTGGATTCCATTGCTACTGTTAGCTACTGCGTAAATTATTATATGATAATTATCAGTGGTCAGAAGAATAGCTGGATCTATTCCAGTTCCAAAGTAATCTCAAAAGAATTGTGTTCTATAGAAGCTGAATATCAAGCTGTTTTTCATGCACAAGCCATATATTTAACAGAAAATCAGGTAAATTATTCATTAATTTGGTATTTGTATTTCCCAATGGATGTAAAACAAAATAAATTTGTTTCAAATGATGTTTAGCTATTTAATGTGAATAGCTTTATCAAAGTTATAGTAAACCAGAATTTACAATATCCAAGCTTATATA